CCCCCCCCCCCCTCCGGCTCTGAAGGAGGTCACGGGAGGCAGATGGAAAGTAAAATCCTGACACACTGGCCCTGGGTTTTTGCTTTGGTTGGCTCACAGTGTGCCCACATGGCTCAGCTGCAAGTGAGCCGGCGTACGGGACGTGACCTAGCAGCAGCAGCAGCGGCATACTATGGCTGGTTTATTTTACCTCAGGTGAAGCTCTGTCTGGCACACAAGCATGTACCCTTCACTGCAAGGAGCTTCCTGGCAAGTCCCTTGCTTACAGCACAGACACCACCATGGGAAGCCTTCCAGACCCCTTCAACTGCACACACCTGGCCAGTGTCAGAGGTTAAGTGTCCGTCCAGTCCCTACACCTCCCCAGAGACTAACCTGTCTCAGACTGGTGGTAACTGCTCTGCCAGGGACCTATGGGGTGGCTAAGGAGGACAGTCCTACCGACCGACTCACTTGGGACACACTCCATGGCATCTGAGCAGTGACACATGCCCACAAACACATCACTTTTCTTACAACCCAGTGAGATGGAAAAATATTTTCCTGATTTACCTAGAGAAACCAAGCTGTGGACAGGCTACATGGGAAGCCTGTAGTCGAGCCACAGCTGGACACCAGCCAGCAGGTCTGCTGTGCAAGCATGGTCTCCACCAGACAACCCCTTCTCCATCCCACAGTCTCCAGCAAAGTTGGCAGCACTCAGAAATTAGAGTTTATCCTACTCTGATGGCCTGAAATCATCCAAACTGATCTCCTCAGAGAGGCTGTAATGCTTTCTAGATTTTTGTTTTATGAAAGAACTACCATATACTATTATTTGTTCCAAAGCCCTACAATGTAATGTGGCTAGGGTGCTCCAAAAAATGCAGCCAAACACTTCACAAGATTAGGATTTTCAACAGGAAAGGTAACACTACCTGGTCTCCCTAAGTCTGCTGGGCAGTGAATGATTGCAAGATGGAAAGCTTTCAGGCAAAGAAAAAATATCACAGTTTTGTGTACCAGGTATAAAGGTAGCAGTGCCAACAGCAACGCACGTCCAGCTATGCCATTAGACGTCGTCTTCGCAAGCAGAAATGCTTGACAGCCTTTTCAGCCGCATCTCACCTCGGTTAGAGGAGCTCTGCTCGCTCCACTGCGGTTCCCTTGGGTCCCAGCCAGCCGCACGTGTAGCCCTGCTCCTCAGCCCCTCCCAGGCTGCGGATCTCAGACCCGGAGAGCAGCAGAGGCAGGGGATAAGCCTGCTGTCCCAGACAGCCGCCCCACACCAGGAGACCCCCATGGTCTGGTCCTGGCAGGAGGAGACACTGGCACCTCCCAGCGAAGCAGCCAGAATGCAGTCACCCCTTGTTTTCCAGGGGTCTCCTTAATAATTCAATAATGATTTTAGTATGCCTAGCTGGATATAATGTGGCCCGAGACACATAAAATCCTGCTGGTGCTCTCTGAGACTGAGGGCTTTCCATGTGGAGCCAGGTTTGCAGCGAGATTAAGTGCCGAGAGAGAGAGGTAGCTGTTTACAGGAAGCAGAGTGCACCTCTGCCCGTCTTCTGACAGCAGCACAGTCACACGTATTTGCACATGTACTGAGGGATCGGCAGGACACGCTTTTAGTCTGTGAAAGTAAGAGTTTTTCTATTATAAGTCAAAGCAATACTTAAAAGGTGATTTTTCTACCATCTGCATCCTATGCATGCAGAAAAAGTTCAACATGCACCGAAGTTTCATCCATGATAAATAGTAAATTGCTCTTAAAAAAATTTAATGTGTCACCCCAAGGAAGCCTAAACTGAAAAGAGCCACTGGTGTCCCCTTTGCTGTTCCGAAAAAGGGCAGTCTCCTCTTGGAAACAGACATCTGTGCTTTGCACAGACTCCCTCAACAAAACCCAAAATTGGCAATCCATACCGCCCAAAAGCTCAGTCCAAAGGCCATTTTGAATCTGCACATCTGCAAAGCTCAACAGCTCTAGAAGTACTGGGGAAAAAAAGTTGGCAAACTCCTCTCTGCCTGCCATTTTGCACACACTGTCTTCCTTCCCTCGGTGGGGCAGGGCTGTGGGCAGCATCCACAGTCCTCACATCTCCACCTCTCCCTTGTGCAAGTGCACGTGTGCATGCGTACAACTGAGAAAAGGTCACCTGCAGGAGACAGCATTATTTCAGCTGGAACAAAATGGAGGGATAACTCCCTGGCACTGAAACGATCATGTGCATGTTTCCTCTCCCTGTAGAGTGGATGCAGTGACCTGTTTCCTTTCAAACCTTTTTTTAGGGTTTTTCTCCGTTTCTTAAAAAAACAACTCACTTAAAATCTCTGGATGCAATGAATTATTACTACTATTATTATTAGTGTGTGGTAGCTGGCTAGCAAGAGACATGTTTTATAATCTTATTACCCACACCAAGTTCTATGAACCACAGTTCGACCGACAACCAGAGGCTTGGCTCTGCAAAGAATATGCTGTGTATTAACCGCTGAAGAAAATCTGAAAGGTTTTGGTTTTGTTTTATTAAACTGTTTAGAATACACACCGCAGTAAATCTGAACCATAAGGTTTCCTTTTTATAGTGCTTAGCAATCCTATTTTACAGTAACAATAAAAAAACAACCAGTCGTAAAAATTCTTGACCTTAGCACTGCATTAAAAAGGGGGCTTAGGAGATCATTACCCCATGAGGAGGGGCATTTGCTCTGTATTAACTCCTGCAGCTCTGGAGAGTCCTTGCACATTTTTGGGTGCCAGAAAGGGAGATAAAAACAGCCCTGGGGAGGCCATGGAATATTCAGATTTTTTCTAACCTGGGGCAGTCCAGCCTTCCAAACACTGCAGCCAGGTGCCAGGTTTGGGATCCTTCCCTGGGTCCTGTCCTGGGGGAATGCTGGGGTCATGAAGGGATCACAGGAGGAGATGCCTGGCCCTCTGGTGTCTCCTCCTGCCTCCCTCACCCCTTCCAGCCCTACAGCGAGGCCAAGACAGACAAGGGCTGGGACAGTCCCACAAGCCACTCTGGTTTGTATCACCACAGGCTATGCACTGTAAGAACAAGGCATGTTTTAGGTGAGGAAGTGCTGTGGAAGGGAAGGGCATGCACTTGCTCTTTGCAGAGAGCAAGCTGAGCTCCTGAGTTGAACACCTGAGTTGCTCACTTACAGTGGCATCCCCTTCCAGCCACACATCACTTGTGCCCTGCCCCAGATGCAGGATCAATTCACCGAGTACCTCACTGACTTCAGTGGGAGACACAGGTCATTGGAGAAGCACATTTGACCTATTCAACATTTACGGGTTCCCCTAAATTGTACAACACAGCACGCACTCAGTAACTTTTTAAAGGATGTACTGCAAGCAACAGTGGGATGCTTAGAACTCACAAACAAATAAATATGGCCTGATTAAAAGACCACGCGTGCAGTGGAAGTTCTTTCCCTTGTAAAGCCAATATGGGGAACCAAGAGGCAGCTACAGCTCGTCCACAAACAGGCAAGCTGGAAGCAGGATTTGTCTGTCACTGAACACAACAGTCAGTGCAGCCCTACATCAGTGCCCAACAGTGACAGAATATGTAGCAAAAGCCAGGGAAGCATAAAGAAAATGCTCTTGCATCAGTTCAGACCATTCCTGCGAAAAAGCTTTCTCAACAGCTGGTGGAAGAGCAACGTAAAGCCCAGCTCCTACTTCCAAGCTCCTGGCAGTGTCTGCATAACCTCTACACATCTTCTTCATGAAGGAGGAGCCGAGGAGAGGAGGTGGCCAGATCAGAGACAGAAAAGAGGCAAGGCAGGCACAAGTGGTGGCTCACTTCTCCCTCCAGCCTCAGAGACTAGAAAATGGTCCTGCCCTTCCCAGATTATTTATTCAGACAAAACATCACCCAGGTAATTATTTTATTTGCAGTAGCTGCCAGCCACAATCTCCTTGCGAGCAAGCCAGTGTTGCGAGCAAGCCAGTGTTACTCTTAGCAGCACCTTCACATTTTGCAGCTGATACTGACTATGGGGCTTATTCCTAAGAACAAGTAGGAGGAGGTCGCGGATGATAATCCTGGGTGACAAGGGCTGCAAAAAATTCAGAGCAACAGAAGAGATCGAAATACTATCCTTCGGCTCTGCCACTGGTGTGGCATGTGATCTCGGCCAAATCACTTCACCCATGCTTTCCATCCTTCTGTCTCACCCATGACTCACCAACAGCTGCCTTAAAACAAAACCAGTAATTATGGAAACACCAGAGAAACTCTGTTAAAAGTTTTAACATAGCCTCCTCCTTCTGCCTTGATCTTAAAAATAAAGCCAGCTTTAGGGGGCATAAAATTGCATTTTGCATTTATGTGTCATTGTTTGCAAACAACAGAATTCACACATCAGTTTTTGGCATGAGGTGAGATGGCATCCACTGGGCACCGGAGTGGAAATGCAGACATCAGGAACCTCCACTCTGTCACCTGTGAGCTGTGTGACCATGGGCAAGTTATTTAACACTTCCCTGCCTCAGTTTCCCTAGCTGTAAACCAGGGTTGCCACTACTCTCCCACCCTGCAATGCTACTGCCCATGAGCTGACCCCTCACAACTACTGCTGCAGTTGCGCTGCCCGAGGTGGCTTTGTTCCGTTCCTAAAACCAGCTAAGCATATTTTTCAGCACAAGGGAAAAACGAGTCTATGATACCCTACCTTGACTTACTTTGATTCTAGCACAGAAAATACAAGACACATCTATATCTGTCCCTCCTTGATAGACAAACTTAATTAACCTTTGCTATTCTGTTCCAACCTATTCTTTTAGACAAAGGCAGTGACCCATAAACAATATGTTACCATCAGAATCTCAACTGCGGTGACACCTAGAGATATAGCCCTATCAGCAGTATCGGAAAATAAACCGCTTAGATTAGCTCCTCCAAGAAATATGGATTGCATTCA